CGCACACACACACACACACACACACACACACACACACACACACACACACACGCGCGCGCAAGGCACCCCACCTTCCGCACAGATATCTGACAAAGCAGGGGTCGAGAGACAGCAAACAAACAAACAAACAAACAAAGAAACGAAGAACAACATACCACACCGAAATCCGAAAAAAGACAGACAGCGAGACAGCAATCAAACAAACAGACAGACAGACAGATCATCAAACAAACAAACAAACCCACCTTCCGCACGATATCCTCACAAAGCAGGGTGTTGTGATACTACAAACAAACAAACAAACAGACAAACAAACACACAAAAAGAACCCACGTTCTGCACGGATATACTCACAAAGCAGGAGTCGTGAGAATACACACACAAACAAACAAACACACAAAGCACCCATCTTCCGCATGGATATCCTGACAAAGCATGGGTCGTGAGACAGCAAACAAACAAACAATTTAAACACACACACATAAATAGCACCCACCTTCCGCAAGGATATCCTTACGAAGCAGGGGTGGAGCACTCCACACACACACAACACACACACACACACACCAAAAACAAACAAACAAACAAACATACACACAAACAAACAAACCCACCTTCCGCACAGATATCCTAACGAAGCAGGGATTGTGAGACTACACAACACACATAAATACACACAAACATACACAAACACACAAACAAACAAACAAACCCACCTTCCGCACAGATATCCTGACGAAGCAGGGGTCGAGCACGCCGCTGGTGAGACTGGCCGTCATCTTGCACGGGAACTCGAACTCGGCCCCCCAGCGCACGCAGTTATTGTGCACCTCCTGTCGGGGCGACTGCTCCAGGAAGCTGCCGCCGTCATTGAGTCGGACTTTGGCGTACAGGACGCCCGACACAAAGGGCACTGAGGCCAGCTCTTCCAGGCCCAGGTGAACCTAGAGAAAGGGGAAAGACAGAGAAGGGGCGTTTTACATCATTTTTAAAACTCTTAAATTCCCCCATACACATCCACAAACTCCTGCTG